ATATATATATATATATATATATAAAGACTAAAATAAATTATTTTTAATTATAATAACTATAAAGTAAAGTTGATGAAATTATAAAGACATAATTATAATTAAATCTTTAAAATATTTATACCATTCCGAATATACATTTCTTTTCTTTTCTTTCTCCTTCTGTTTCTTTTTCTTTTTCCTTCTCTTCTTTTCTTTCATTTCCGTTCCTTTATCCTTTTTATCCTTTACTAAACAAAGCATAAAACTGCTTGTATCATGATCGGAGACAACGTTATGGAGCTGTCTCCCTCATTATAGTTGTCAGTCGATAAAAATTGGAATTACGAGTAGTATTATAAACAGAAGATAACAAGATAAAAAAAATTAACAAAGATCCTATATTTAAACAGTGCAAGAGCGCTGATTATTTCATTTGAGCAAAAAGAACTCCAACCTGGATTCCATTGTTACTCTGCCATCAGTTGATCTTGGGACGCAAGTAATACTTTGGGTCCCTGAGAAACCTTGAAACCATCTCTGCCTTGTCAGTGGAAAGATCAGTGTTCTCTAGAATTTGCTCTTTTGACGCCTTGGCAATTGCTTGGACAGAACCAATAGCTTGACTAAGCTGAATTGAGTGATCAGAATAACAAAATAACTCAAGGTATATGCATGGCTACCATGGTTTCACCCGTGACAAAATCATCATTATGCGGTATACTATCCCAAAAACTAAATGTGTGTGTTTTGCTTCCTCTTCAAAACCATTACAAAATTCGTACATTAATTTGTTATTTTCATTTCTGAAGGGACTCCCATCAATGTGTGTGTGCGCTATATCTGTGTGTGTTGCTTCCTCTTCAAAACTATTACAATTCGTACATCCATCAGTGTGTGTGTGTGTTATACCTTAACGAGTTTTAAACATCTATATGATAAAGAATGCTGAGCTTTAGCAACGTTGGTTGGAGGCACGTAAAGATAGAAAAACTAAATTGAGTAGTTGCCGCATAATATAGAGGAATTTACCGCATTTGCATCATGATTGTCAATGCCTGGGATGGATGTAACCACCTTAAGGTAAAAGTTCATTCCTTGCACCAACTGCTTTCTCTTCAAAACCATGGCAAAATTCGTACGTCAATTTGTTATTTTCATTTCTGAAGGGACTATACCCCATTAACATTGACTGGATGCAGAATCAATTAACTGACCTCAGCTTTCAATTTTTCTCCAATTTTCTCTTGCTTGTATACTGCAAATTAGTTGGAGGATGAGAAATATAAATTCGAAAAACACATTATAGTTGGAAGTTTCTGGTTCTACCTCCAGAAGAATGAGCTATTTTTACCATCTTTTCAAATCCCATCTCCAAGTCCTGAACTGGCACAAATGTAGGTTTGCCAATCACCATCCCAAATCTTCACACATCCACAACCACGATTCTTGTTTTTTCATTATTCAAGTCATACATAGCAAATTATATCAATCAGAACATAAGTAACAAAACTCACTTGAAATATGACTGAATAAATGAATCAATTTGCTCTTTTGCTGGGAGTGTGATAATGACGTAAAAACGAGCAAATTGCATCTTCAGTTTCTTCACTCTGCATGGGAAAATTAGAACCAGACATAAAACTCATAACTAACCATCAAACATACCCCCAAGCAATGACTCCAGTCTCCATAACAGCAGCCTAGTAGTTACCTGTTGAAGATTGGAGCAACATTGTTGCAGTCCCAGTTTGTCACAAAAATGAAGGCCACAGACAATCCCCCACAATTGAAAATAAAGTCCTACAAGGAGACTCCTCAAATTTCAGCGTTGAACCACTATTTGAAAGGAAAGAAAAAAGAACACGGGGAAAAACACAAAACTGCCAATTACCGGAGCGATTGGGACAAAATTTAGGCGAAAAAAATTTGCAGAGAGAAAAGTGGAGATAAAATTGATGAACGATGGATGTTGGTCCCCTTTCCACGCATTTCTCATCAAACAGACTCCAGCTGTAGCTACAATAGTACGTAATAATGGCCTCATTCTAAACAAATAAAGTAATGCACTTTATAGTGATTGAAAATATAAAACATACAGCAGAGCTCTCCGTCAAGCTGTCATTGTTAAGTACAGGATTAAGACAATATATCTATAACTCGATGCATTAAGATAAGAATAAGAAGCATTACCGCAAAGTTTCCACAATATATGGTAGTATTAAGTGAACCAGAATTCTCACAATATTTATATGAGTACAAAAAATCCAAATCAAACCGGATCCAATTTAGATAATAAAAATCCATTAATTTTATAAAAATTGTTTGATTAACCAATTTATTTTTTTATAAAGTAGATAAATTTGATTTAATTTTTCCACCAAATTGAATCGAACAAGATTTTAAAAATCTGATCCATTTTTTTAAAATATCAAACTAATACACTTTATAAAAATCGGTTTAAATTTTGAAAGTATCATATCCATTAAAAGCCCTCAACTATATATATCCAGGGATCGATCTGATAGGAATAGCTCTCTTTACAACAATTTTCCTAAAATATGATCAAAAGCCTCAAACCACTCCATCATCCTCTGAAATTCTAACTTAAAGTTGAAACCAAGAACATCATATTCAAAGAATGAAAATCAAAATCTAACAGGAAATAAAACCAATAGATCTCTCTCTTTCAAAAACGAAATTCCATAATGATTTTTAAAATATTCTTCTACCTATGGAGGACCATAGGTATTTTTTCTACCTATTCCGGTTGCTCCTTTCTTCTTCTTCTCTAAATAGAAAGCAGCTCTAATTATCTCAAACGAAAATTAGATAATAGAAAGACAATAATAGCATGAACCTCTACTTCAAGTTAGCAGAGAAAAGTCATAGTATTACAGCATCAAAAAACATGAGTTCAATGTGATTTACAATTCTAACAAAAAGAATAACAGCAGTAAGAAAATTGTGATAAACCAATCTGTTTCGGTTAATTAAGAAACAGTTACCGGAGAAGGTGGCATGCGAGGGAGTTGAATCTCTGAGGGATATATCCATGAGCGAATCAATCGCAGAGAAAACTGTGAATGGAGAAGAAGCGCTCAGTCTGTTTTCACTTTTCAAAACTTGATTCATTTCCCTCTCGCGAATTCAAATAGCGAAATAAAGAGAGTCATACCTACGGCGGACGCAGGTTTCTGCCACGGCCGCGCCTGGTGGTTACGGCCACAGAAATCTGAGCGAACGGGGCGGTGATACGAGTTGGATCGCAGTTTGCGTCACCAGCACGCAAAGTACGTGTTTCCCGCCATAGTTTAAACGAATTTATATATATATACCCTTTTCGTCATGCTTTTCTTCTTAGAGAAATTCAACTGAGTCTGAGAGTGAGTTTGAAAAATATCCGTTCCTTTTTTAACTCATTCTTTTTATTACTAATCAAAATTTATTAAAGAATGTATTATTACAAAATCGTCGAGTGTATTTTACAGAAGTGATCAGATTTCATGAGTAAAAAAATTTCAAACTAGAGTTTAACTTATGCTTTAGTAGAATACATATTTTTATTATGATCATTTTAAATATATTAGTTATTCCAAAAAAAAACAATAATTTTATAAACAATAATTTATGATTGGGTAATAATATAAACATAAACAATATTTAAATTAAAAGTATATCTGTGGTGTTGGTGCATTAGTTTTTTTCCCGTCATATTTATGGTTTTTTTTTATAAAGTGCCGACATTCTTATAATTACTACTTAATTTCTAAAAAGTTTAAAAAGAATTAAGATATATATATGTATATAACATTAAGTTACGTTAACTTATATAGATCTCTTCGAATAGCATAGTATATTCAATCACATAAAAAATTACTTTTAATCAAGAATACAGAGATTAATTGATACCACCCATTTATTTAACGCTAACTGCGCTACAAGAGAAAGACATGACAAAAATAAAATATATATGGTGTAAATAAAACAATAATAAAATATAAATATAAAAAACAATATGATGTGATAAAAAAAATAATAAATATTAATAGAGTGTTTATATGCCCGTTAGTTATAACAAATACTGTAATATGCATGAGAGATATAACACACTATACTTTTTTGGAGCATGAGAGAATTGTTGATTTTGTACGAAAATGGTGGGAGAAAATCACTGGGCTAGCGGATTGCAAGTGGATTTACGTCGGCCCCATCCATCGATAAACTTAAAGTGCTTCATTTCAACACATTTTTATTCTTCTTTCGTCTAGATTTCTGTTCAAAAATAAACCCACACTCCCTCTCGACCATGCATCACAGCTAAATCCTCGCTACAACGCTAAAGTAGATCCCTCTCTCTCCCAATCCCCGCGGTTGAAATCGTTGGAGTCAAAAAAAGAAACACCAACAACTTCCTTTTCTTTTTTACTATAATTAAGAAGCACCCACCTTAGTTGTCTTCTTCCAAAATCTGCATTATCATACAAGCTTATTCCTCTACCAAACCCAACGTCCGTGTATTATCCTCTTCCCATAGATTTGATTTACTTGTTTCACCTTTCAAGTTGAAATTAATTTATTTGACTCCACATTTTTCTTTTTTTTAATTTGTTTTATGCTAAATTTTTTGTCTGGTACTTTTGTACGATGTAGTCTCTATCTCCTTTCCACAGCTAAATTTTTTGATCTCATTCTAGATTATGAATTTTTTAACTTGTTTTTCTTCTCAATTTTTTCTGGTTATGTATGGAAAGTCACTAGACTTGTCCTTTATTTTCTATAATTTTTCCGTAACTCAAATGTCTAGTTGTCATCTTGATCTTGTAGATTAAGAATTTGATTTTATTATTGTTGGGGTATGAACAGGAAGGAACATTAATTTCAACTCAATTGTCTGCTAAAAAATGAGTTCGACTAATGAGAATGCAGTGAAGCCCTTCAAGATCTTCGTGGGCTATGATACACGTGAAGACATTGCCTTTCAGGTTTGTCGCCACTCCCTCTTGAAGAAATCTTCGATCCCCCTTGAGATCATACCAATCAAGCAATCAGAGCTGAGAGAAAACGGCTTGTATTGGCGTGAAAAGGACCGATATGAGAGCACCGAGTTCTCCTTTTCAAGATTTTTGACTCCACGTTTGGCCAACTTCGAGGGTTGGGCAATGTTTGTGGATTGTGACTTCCTCTACTTAGCAGATATTAAGGAGCTGAGCGACTTGATTGACGACAAGTACGCTATCATGTGTGTTCAACATGACTATGCTCCAAAGGAGACCACAAAAATGGATGGGGCAGTGCAAACTTTGTACCCCAGAAAGAATTGGTCTTCTATGGTGTTGTATAATTGTGGCCATCCCAAGAACCGTGATCTCACTGCTGACACTGTGAACTCACAAACCGGTGCTTTCTTACACAGGTTTCAGTGGCTCCAAGATGATGAAATTGGGTCCATTCCTTTTGTTTGGAACTTCCTTGAGGGGCACAACAAGGTTGTTGAGAGTGACCCTAGTACTTTCCCTAAGGCTGTTCATTATACTCGTGGAGGGCCATGGTTTGAAGCATGGAAGAACTGTGAATTTGCTGATCTTTGGCTGAATGAAAGGGATGAGTACCTGAATGAGGCCAAAAAGGCAATTACAAATTAGGTTGAATTAATCTCTCAGCTGTGTGAGGGAGTAAATTATTATGATCACGTGTCTTCTTCATTTCAAGTTGCCTGTGGAAGTTTCGTATGAGTGGTGGAGAATAAACCTATGGCATTGCTGTTCTATATAAAGTTAGTATTGGTATTGAACTACGTAGCCACAAGTTCAGATTAAATACTTTCATGAAGTTTTTTTTTTACTTAATCACCTATACACTGTCAGTGTAAAAGCAGTCAATCAGAACTGTTAATAGTGTCTTTTCATCAGTTCATTTAATTAAATTAAAATAAAAAAGGTACTATTAAGACTCTGATTAACTGTTAATATAAAAAAATTTATATTGACAGTATATAGGTGATTAACTTATATTTTTTTATACAATATTAATATCTTATTGGTCTTTTGGATGTAATGTCCTTTTAGGTGGTGTAAATAAATAAAGTCGATTGTGTTGTGTGTATAGAAATTAAGTTTTAGTTATGTGTACATTTTAAGATTATACTCCCGCCTCTCTCGGGATACAAACAAAATAATTTAATTCATATAGGTTAAAGGAAATTAGTTAAATACATTTAATTTATATAATTTTGTATATAATATATATTATATTTTTTAAAATATTTTTAAAAGAGTGAATAAAATATTATTTTAATCTTTAACTTTGTAAAATAGTGATATAGTAGTTTTGAGTTAAGAAAAATGAAATGTTAATCCTCAATTTTGATTTTCATCACACAAATTAATTTATATGATGAATGTTTTAACTTTTTTTAAGTCAATAGTTGATACATTATATGTCACATATTATGTATCACTTTAGTGTATAATCATTATTAACTCATCAGGGATCTTAATAACGAAATTTTATTTCATTTGAGCCTAATTTGAATTGATGAAAAATTATTTAGTTTTTTTTCAATTTTAACCTAGTCTTTTGAGAGTTAAAGACCCTTTTGATTTTCTCAACACTAGTCTTCCATGTTCAACACTAGTTAGCTTATCATTCCTATATATATTGTCAAAGATAACCAACCATGCCTAGTGCTGAAGAAGCCAACATAGTCTAGAATTTTTACATTCACCAAGACTACCAGAACACAAACGCAAAGTTTATTAAGAAATAGAGAAAGTAATGATGGAGTTCAATAGTTGTTAGTGGTGGTCTTGGCTTTCACCTGCAAAAGTGATGTAGTTGTTGTAATAACAAATTTGTAAAGAAGAAATAGAAAATGTAAGCGAATCCAAGTGTCACAAGTTTGAGATATATATGATTTCACACTGCAATACACAAAAAAGACAAGTAATCAATTTCAAATTTTGATTAATTTTATAAAATAAAATAATAGTCCAAGGGCAAGTGTGTTCCCGAATCCTTTTCATTAAAAAATTATATAGAAGAGAATCAAAGCACATTACTATGTTGTATGGAGATAACAATAATATTTTGAATAGGAAAAGAAATGTAAGTAGGGGTTCTCTTTCATTCTATGATGATGGGTCACAACCCATAACTCTCTACAGGCAAGTGCGTTTGAATCCCTCTTTCATTTCCAACCCCAACACACTATCGAAGGAATCAATAACTTAGGTGAAGCCTTCACACCACGTCTAACAACTCTCAAAGCCAACAACGGTAAAGCCTCCGCACCACGTATCACAGCTATTGAAGCCAGTAGCGGTGAAGTGTAACATCCGAATTTTTGTAATTAATTATTTGTATAATTTTTATAAATTATTATATGTTTTATTGTAATGAATATGAAATAAATTATATGTGAATTTATTGTGAATGAAATATATGTAATGTTATTTTCCAAAAAATTTCTGAATTTAGTAACATGTATTTTATTGTTAAATTTGACTGTTTTGTAGACAACGTTGTAAGAAAGTCGTAATTAAAATGTGAGAAACTAAGTTTAACAAATTTAAGTAATTTATAACCTAAATGATAATTTATTGAGTGTAGATTAAGAATATATAGGTAGTGTTTGGTAGTGGAGTGGAACAAAACAAAATAGAACAGAATAATAATGTATTTATATTTTGTTTGATAACAATATAACAGAATGGAACATGTATTTTATTCTGCATTTGATTTTTGTTGAACATAACAAAATACCATGTTTAATTACATATATATCCTTATCTTGTTTAATGTTTGGTTGAATATAAAAAACTAAATAGAACATAATAGAACATTTTTCATATTTACTATTTTATATTATTCTTAAGAGTTATTAATATATTAATATTTATATTTTATAATTATTTTCTAAATACGTAAATATGAAATATTTGATTAAATATAATTTATAAAATATAATTAACTTAAATATATTGTTATTACTATATAAAAAAGTTTCAAATAAAAAATAATATTAAGAAGAAGAAGAAAGGAATATTAATTATGTGACACATAATGTGCTAACTAATCACTTAACAATAAGAGTTAATGTCACAGTCACGATAAATAAATAAAAAACATTAAAAAAAAACTAATTTATGTGATGGATATTAAAATTGAAGATTTATGTTTTATTTTTCTTAACTAAGGACTACTGTAACACGAGCCCACAAAATCATAAATTAAAATGGTACTTTACTCTTAAAAAAATGTCTACATTTAATAGTTTATTATGTTATATTTTATTGATAATTGTATTATTGATACAAAGTATATATCAACTTTACCAATTATTAATTTTCATCAGAGAATGAGGCCAATCAAATCTACTTTGTTATTATGTTTCAAATAAAATTTCAAAAAAAAAAGGTAAATTTGAGAGTTGAAATTTAGAGAAAAAAGAAAATAGGGTTTTTTTTAACTGTCTATTTTTTTAAAAAATTAAACAATCCAAAATTTCATTATATTTTCTGTCTATTTTTCTCTCTCTTTTTTTTTTAACCTATTTTCATTTATCTTTTCTCACCGTAAAACATAACGTTAAATAATAAAATAGTTACCATTTGTGTGGCGACTTGTTATAGTTTAAATATTTTAAATATGACAGTGATATTCAAATTAAAAAAAAAAATGGTAAAATAAAAATACCGTTGTGGTGTCTTGATATCATAGCCCTCTTTGTAGAGTCTACTTAGGTAAGATGCCAATAAGATTTGGTATATATATGCAAAACATTTCACAGGGGAGTAAATAGATACGATGAATTGTCATATCATTTAAAGTTTAAATATGTATTTGTTCGGATATGATTAAAGTTCAATATTCAAATAAGAGGATAATATAAATTTATATACACAATCTTTATCGATAAAAGTCATTTGGTGATGATGAAAATAAAATTACGAAAACTTAAAATTTAAAATAGATAATATCTTAATAATATAAAAATATTGTGCATGAAAGCTGTCCGGTACACATCAGTACTGAAATTTTATTTACGAAATAATTAAGGTAAGATCGGCACGGGAAGTATTGATGATGATATTGAATAATGTTGAAAAATAGGAGTAAATAGACAAGGCGAGTTGCGTTATATCATACATGTACTCAATATAATGTAGTCTAAGAGTTCAATATGCATTCAAGTTTTATTCTTTATATGATAATATAAGAGATCAGGAGTGGAAGCAGGAACGGATCCAGAAATCCATAAAAGGAGGATCGAAAGGAAATAAAATTTAATAATAAATATTAAATAAAAATTAAATTACAAAAAATAAATATATCGTACCTCTTATCAAAGAAAAGTATAAAAAATGCATTCCTTTTTTTTTTATGTAAACTTATAACATATTATATTTATACTATAATATGATATAAATAAAATATAGGAACGGATCCAGAAATCCATAAAAGGAGGATCGAAAGGAAATAAAATTTAATAATAAATATTAAATAAAAATTAAATTACAAAAAATAAATATATCGTACCTCTTATCAAAGAAAAGTATAAAAAATGCATTCCTTTTTTTTTTATGTAAACTTATAACATATTATATTTATACTATAATATGATATAAATAAAATATTTTACTTCAAAGAATTTAAATTTTTTTAAATAAATAAATTATTTTATTCCGCGGACCGGTCCGTAAGCCTGCGGATTTCGCGGATAACAGGTCCTTGTTTTTAAAATCCATATGATTATGTTTGATTTTTGAGTCCGGCTGTGAAGTCCGCGGAAGCTCACGGGCTAGTCCGCAAACTTCACTATTTAATATTTTTAGATATTAAGACTTTAATCTTAAGTTGTGTATTTAATCTTTTAAATTATTATGACATTAAAACTATGTTTAGTTGGTATGTATTTGTCATTTGAATTATTTTTATGACATTTTGATTTTTTATTATTGAAAGTTTGGTACTATTATATAAGTATTTGCAATTATTTTTATTTTAATATTTAATATTTTAAACTATTTTAACTGTTGATAAATTTTAGTGTGATAAAATTTAGCTTATAAATAAATAAAAAAATCTTCTAATATTATATTTTTTATTTTTAAAAAAATTATTTTTTGAAGCATTATTTAAATCCGCGGACCGGTCAGTTATCCGCGGATTTGGGCGGGCCGGATACGAACTTAAAAAAAATTCATTTATTTTACGAATTGGACTTATCCAGTCCGTATAATACATGAATTTTACGGACTAGACCTTAAACAGGCCAGATCGGTCCATATACCCACTCCTAATATATATATATATATATATGTTATGTTGATTTTTTTCTAAAAGTGGGGGGTTAGAATCATTGTTTGCCCTTGTAGATCTCTGAGTAGAAGTATTGATTATTTATATGATAATTTCTTCTAAATTAAACTTATGGAAGTTTATTAAACACAATTTTTTAATTGAATTTTCAGATATTTATTTATACTCTATTCTTTTTTTATTTTTTTATCAAATATTTTTATTTTTAATCTATTTCTTATTTATTATTTATACTTATTTTTCTTTTTCTTTTTTTCATTTCTTTTCTCTTCAGCGAAGATAAGCTAAAAGTAAGTAAGATATGACACATTTAATGAAATTGTATATTTTTAGAAAACGTCCAATCTGTCTCCATTTAGCAGTAGGTGCCACTCAATTAAAACTCTCATAATTTAAAACAGGCAAACGCTAAAAGTTCCGTGTTTAAACGAACTTAAAATTTTGTTTCTGACCTCAATCACATAGATAGTGACTCTGATCTTAACCAGCTTTTTAAATTTTTTTTAAAGAAAAAAAATTAAGTTTTCGTGTTACTTCGTAGTATTTGCTAAAGTGGATGACAAAAAGAATACACATCATTCAAGACAAGGCAAAAGGTCGAGACGTGTAAGGCAAAAGATTCGGAACTACATACTTTCCACAGATGGACTAGTGATAGGGATTCTAAATCAGAAATAGGATCAAAACAAAGCAACATTTGCTTTTCCTTTAATTTTTTTAATATTTTTTTTATTTATATTCGTTGATTTTTTTAGAAGTTTAGCAATAGTCGGAAAAGAAATAAAGTGCGACAGTGTCTTCAAATGTGGACACTATAAGTAAAAAATCAGTGATTATGGATAGTGATGTAGTGATAAGGACTGGGAACAGAAATAAGAACAAAACAAAACGGCAATTAGTTTTCCTAAATGTTGTGGCGTGGCCACTGATGAGTGGTGGGACATTGCTCCGTTGCCATGCGTCCACGCGTTTCATGCCATATCATCACGCTGCAACAGAGATAACTGTCGCCAGGATTCGGGTATTTGGAGCAGCATTGTGTTTGAAATCATCGGAAACAATTTTATTTTAAAATCAAGTGTTTTCAAAGTGTTAGCGCTTAAATCAGGTGTTAAATTTTTTACCCAAAATGGTTTTAGAAAAAAAATAATAAGAAAACTTTACCCTCTCAATACCTTTTTTTTTCTTCCTTTTACTGTAATTGTTAAGTGATTTGGAATTGACAGCTACTTTTTGTTTGGCTCATGATATATATCATTAATCCTTTTGTTTTCTAATGCTCAGAAGATGTGGTCCAAGAATAAAATTGGTGGTTAATTAATGATATCACCGCAATTTAGATTTGAATTTTAAGTTATTCGTCACTTGACCTTTAATTAAGAAAGTGACATTCAATGACTACAAGTGCTTATCCTAGGTTTTAATATTCACCATCAATTAATGACATCACTGCAATTTTGATTAAACTGTTTAATTCATTAAATATGAGATAATTTTATCTCCTAAACCAAATTGATGTTACAATTAACTATCATCATTTTTTAAAGTTACTAAATTTAAAATTGACATCAAAGTTAAATTTGTTATACTTAAAAATTTAAAATATATTTAAATTTTAATTCATTTTTTCTAAACAAATTCACATCATACATAAATGTACATTATATTTTTATTTTACATAACCCACTATTTAAGTATATCATAGAAATTTAATTTATGATTATGTGAATAGAACAACACCCATGAGAAAAATAGTTGTCCATTAATTGATATATTCTTAAGATTTCTGATTTTGAGAATACCTCATTTTCAATAACAAAAAAATCACAAATTAATCAATTTATATGATTAAACCATTTGGGTCAACTTAATATTTGAGTTAACAACTAGTGGAGTAATTTAAATAATATTTACATACAAAGTTTTAGTTTTAACATTATTGTCATAGTATATGAAAAAATCAAATTTTATATAATTTTTAAAAGAGTAATATTTAAAAAAAATGAAATTTATATATTAAACCATTAGAACCAACTTAATAATAAAATGATTTATATAAATATATACAAGGTTGAATTTTAACATAGTCGTCATCGTACACAAAAAAAAAATAATTTTATATGATTGGAGCATTATGATCAATTTAGTAGTGAAACAATTTAGATAACATATACAAAATTTTAAATTTTAATATTATTGTCATCATTTTACATGAAAAAAATCAATTTTATGTAATTTTTAAAAGGATAATTTTAATTTTATTAATTTTTTATATTGAAAATACTAAATACATTTTGTGCCTCTAAGAAACTAAATACATATATATTTTTGTTGTAAAAAATTTATATTAAGAGAAAACACGCCCGTCAAAAAAATCATCAAATAGGAATTTATAACGAAACTAAGATATTAGTATCTATCAACAAAAAATTTTGAATCCAAAATTTGAAAATTCAACCTAAACCACGAGCAGATACTTGCTCATGTGTACCAACTCACTTTTTTATTTTATTTTTTCCTTGCAAGTATGGTCTTTCCAAGAGAATCCTACTCCTAACACTGTACTACTAAATATAAATACCTCTTATCGCAAACATGCAAACCTTTATGAACATATATATTTTTATATATAATTTTAATAAATTTTAACTAAACAATTAAGATGAGTAATTAATATTTAAATAAAGATTACAAGTACCAAAAAGTTGATTAAGTTGATTCGGATAAATTTAAAAATAGAAAAATTGTAGTACCTTCTTGTAGTCTTTAAGTGAACATTAACTTCTTTTTTTTTTTTTTAAGTAACATATTAATTTCTTATATAAAATAATATTATTTGTATATTATTAAGAAAAAATAAATTATTAATATAAGTGCTAATAATTAAATGAAATTTAATCTTTTATTCATTTTTAAATCTTAAATTATATCATAAATATTATGTGTGTTAATATATCAACTTCAAAGATAATTCTAAATAACGGATTAAGAAATTATTATTTTTAAATTAAATAACAATGAAAATTCTTATAAAAAAGATAAAATGATGTACGTAATTTAAAAACGAATGATAAATATTTATATAATTTATAAAATATAAACTAACTATTATTTTTTTTTCATTTTCCTTATTTTAACTAATGACATTATTATAAAGAAGATGAATGATTTTTTTAAAATTAGTTGAGTGATTTTTAAATATTAGAAAAAATATCGGTCATTTAAACAAATTTTAAGGAAAATGAGCGCAATTTTTTCATTTAATAATATATTTTTATGCTATCCAGCTGGAATTGAATTAGAAATTAGTTAATAGTGTGTTTGGATAAAGAATTTTACAAATTCAAGGAATTTTAAATTCTTAGTATTTGAATTACTTTGATTTCAATTTCTATCATTCTTAAAATATTTTGTTTGGATGAGTCAATTCAAATTTTTTAAATTTTAAATTATTAAGTTGAATATGATAATTTGATTCTATCATAGTAAAATTGATTTTAAAAATATATTTATATGTTGAAATTTTTAAATTAAATTTTATAAAAATAAATATTAATTCATTTTTAAATATTTAATAATTTTAAATTAATATTAGATAATATTTAATAATTTTAAAAAATTAATATAAGATAATATTTAAAAATTTTAAAAATATTTTTGAATATCCAATAATTAAAAGAATGAAGAGATAAGATAAAATATATAGGTGAAATAAGAAAAATAAATATGAGGAATTTCAAATTCTTCCACTTTTGAGAGAATTTGAAATTATATTATTTTAAGGAATTTCACAAATACTTGAATTTCAAATTCTTTGTAAATTTCTCGTCTAAACAAAGCATTTCACCGCAAGAAATTTGAAATTCTTGAAATAAATCTTATATAAATTTCTCATCCAAACACACTATAAAGATATTTTATGGTAAACCCACGCACAAGCCGGCCCCGCGTGCAGCATTACAAGATGGCGTCACGTAAGAAGGATGTTTTAAATATGAGCGTGTAACTACTGAGCATTCTTTTCTATAGATACCAACAATTGGACTTAGCGTTACTTTAGTTTTTACATGACCACAATGGCCACGATTCCAACCATTTCCCCGATGTCATGCAGCCACACGTTTCGCACCCAGTCCCTTCAGCTACCAACCGTACTCACCAGGACCCGGGTCGGATCCGGGTCATGGAGTCCCATTCGGGCATCCACCACGGAGAGAGCGGAGATGGTATCAAACGACAAGCAGCTGCAGACGGGAATCGCGGGGTTCTACGACGAGTCGTCTGGCGTATGGGAGGACATTTGGGGTGACCACATGCACCACGGGTTTTATGATCCGGATTCCACTGCTTCGGTTTCAGATCATCGCGCTGCGCAGATCCGAATGATCGAGGAGTCTCTTCGTTTCGCCAATGTTTCTGGTATTTCTCTCCTTTGCTAACTCTCTGACTCATGCTGCCAGTGTCTTTCAAATTATAAAAAAATATATATATGTTCAAATTTAGGAGAATCAATAAAACTGTATTGAATTCAAAAACATATATACTCTAACTCTGTCGATTAAAGTTGCCTGAATTGTTTTAAATTCTTTATACCAAGTTCGTTTTCAATGAATATAAAAAATTCAAGAACCTATGTATTGATACACAAATCTGAAATTATATTTGTAATAATCGTTAACTGTATTGGGTATACTGTCATGAATTGTAATAATCGTTGTAATTTTTTTTTTTTAAGACTTGTAATCTAGAGTGAGATTTTTTCTCTCCATCATAATTTTTTCTATTTACAAATGTCGAAACCAAAATTTTGATTAAAGGGATAAAATCGGTTACCACTTGTTTTGGATTTGGATTTGGATTTTAGAATAGGAATTGTATATTCTTTTTTATTTTTTATTTTTTTTAACGGTTACTTCTGACTTGTAGTAATTTGTCTGTGAATGGTCAGATGTTAGTACTAAATGGCCCAAGAGTATAGTTGATGTTGGGTGTGGAATAGGGGGCAGCTCCAGATACCTGGCCAAAAAATTTGGGGCGACGAGTGTGGGTATTACTCTGAGTCCTGTTCAAGCTCAAAGAGCAAATGCTCTTGCTGCTGCTCAAGGATTGGCTCACAAGGTCTTCATTTCTGGACATGTTTTTTGTATCTGCTATTTTACACCTTTACCAAGATTCTTAATAATTTCAATAGAATCTATGCACATGTAGCTGATACTATAATACTCATATATTTTTTTTACATTTCTGTAATTGCAGGTTTCATTTCAGGTTGCTGACGCTTTAGAGCAACCATTCTCTGACGGGCAGTTTGATCTGGTGTGGTCCATGGAGAGTGGAGAGCATATGCCTGACAAAGCCAAGGTTTCAATTTCATTAATCTTGCATTTTAACAAAAATGAATTTTAGACACCCTATTCAACATCTAATAAGAGGAAGGTAACACTATAAAAATGACAAGATATGATAGGAAAAAAAAATAATATATATATA